GTCCTGGAAGAGCGAGAGCCCGAGAGAAAGTCACAGGGAGCAAGAGAGGGAGAGCCCCTCATTAATATACTGACCATGATGGGATATGACATGGAATATCCTAGTGGCATATTCACATGCCAATTTTATTAATACAAATATTCCTTGTCCCCCTAGATCTTGCACTTGTAGAGTAACAAAACACAAAGTCCTTCAACTTCCAGTGACAAAATGAAAACATTGGTATGCTATCAGCGTTTTTCTCATAACAAATCCCAGGCTGAAACCAAAACATAGTGCTGTTCTAGCTACTAAAAAGAAACCTAGCTCTGTCTCAGCTAAAAACCAGGACACCAATGTAGTGTCCCAGGCCCGTGGTGCAGAGGAGATCCCCGAGGGCTGTCACAGCTCTCACCCTGCAGCCTCAGCGTGTGAATCCCCAGCAGGATGGTTTTGAGCACGAGCCCATTACGTCGCATCCCCTCCAAGTTAACTTTCCCTCTTTTTCTTCCCTTCAAGCTGGAAGCTGACAAACTGGCGCTGCCGGTGAGCCCCAGCCCGCTCAGCCCCACACGCAGCCCCAGCCCCAAGCCCCCCGAGGCGGCTGTCCTCACCGTGGAGCCCTCTCCTTCAGAGAAGAAATGCTTCTTTGTCGATGAAGCGGAGCCTCTCCTGCGGTGCGACTCGACCTCCAGTGGCTCCTCCGCGCTCAGCCGGACAGGCTCTTTTATTACCAAAGGTACCAAAATCAGCCCAGGGTGGAGCGGGAGGACACCAGGGATGCCATGGCATGTCCCCTGCAGTCAGCACGTGTTGGAAGAGCTGCCCAACATAGATAACTGGGAAAACTGGCTCTCCAGGATAAGTTTATCACAACCTCATTCCAGACCAGAATATCCTGTTAGTGAAGATGATGCAGATTTGAGAGGGGAAAACACTTTTTAAAGGCTTTTAACTCTTTGAAGTGCTGCCAGAGAAGTTGTAGCATCCGTGGATGGCTGGGGGGCTGGGGTGGGGTGGGTTTCTCCTGACTTTTGGCTGTTGTGTTGACCTGTGTGTTATTGCATGAGATGAAACCAGAAAAATGTCATTTAAAGACTGCAGGGTTTTATTTTTTTCACCCTTGATCCTGCTTGCAGTGCATATGACTTGAGATGTAAATCTCTGTTAGTCACCCACCCTTTTTGAAGGGGTTTAATTTATTGCATTTAACTTGCTGCATTTAATTTTCTTTAACTTCTGATGAAGGGGAAACACTGAATTTATACTTAGGTACGCCAATTAAGCTGATCCAATGAAAACAACTCAAAAAGAGCAGAATTCAGCTTTTTTGGCTTCCCTTCACTTTTCTGTATTGGCCATTCAGCGTTTATAAATGGCTGTGTTTGCTCTAGTGGGATTCTGGATTAGGTGCCTCAGCAGTGCTGGTGTCTCCGTCTTCTCCCCTCCCTGTCACTCATCACCCTCCACTTTTTCCCTTGATTCTCCTGACAGTGTGTCCCTCTTCAGAGGTGGTACCAGGGGATGGACCAGGGTCTCCAAGGAGAAGCAGCTCTGTTTAGCAGAGGTTTCTTGAGGGATTTCTTGACCACACTCTCCTTTCCTCCTACAGAAAAGAAGGACACCGTCCTGCGCCAGGTGCGCTTGGACCCTTGCGACCTGCAGCCCATCTTTGACGACATGCTGCACATCCTCAACCCTGAGGAGCTCCACGTGATAGAGGAGATCCCGCAGGCTGAAGACAAGCTGGACAGGCTATTTGAGATCGCTGGAGTCAAGAGCCAGGAAGCCAGCCAGACCCTCCTGGACTCTGTCTATAGCCACCTTCCTGACTTACTGTAGGCACTGGGTCACCACGCACTCTTTGAATATCTGCTAGAGCTAGCTTGGCACTCGTTAAGACGACCGACAATATGCAGGCAGGTTTTGTTGTAGAATATATGGCCAGTATTTTCATTGAGGTGTCCTTGGTTTCTGGAGGGGGGGCAGTTTGCCAGCGTTGCACCCCTCCACCTTAACTCTATCGCTCAGTCCAAGTCTTTGCACCCTCTGCCCTCATCCTGAGCCTCTCTTCTCCTTGTTCTCATTCCAATCAGATCAGTCGATGCACTTTAAAAAAAAAAACAAAAAACAAAAACAATACAGTTAATGAACTAAAAGACCACAAATCTGATGTAATTTAACACATCAAATCGGGGATTGCTCTATAACCCACTTCTTCTGTCAAAGCTGTCGCTCAGAGTGACCTGAGTCTCCCACCACCTGCCTTTGCCTCGGAGCAGTAAATGGCAAAAACACACACACAAACAAAAAAACCCCGCAGTGGTTGCTGGTTACCGTCTCTTAACGCAGCTAAGCTTCCCACACGAGCTGACTTTTGGGGTTTTTTTTTTTAATGTACTATTGTATCGCTCATATCCATGGCTGAGATTTTACTAGCACGGTTATTTATTGTATGGTTTTCACCTGGACAATGCATCGCGCTCCTATAAGCTGAATCAGAAGCGCTTTAACCACAAAGAAAAGAGTGAGTCCCACCAACCTTCGAGGCGATGAAAAGGTCCTTTTGCCTTCAGTCGAATGTGAGGAGTTATCTTGCCTTGCTGCTTGCAGGGACAGCGGGGTCCCCAAGGGAGCCGGTGCTGGATGTGAGGAGGCGAAGGCGGCTGCCGGTGGTCCTGCTCTCCTCCTGGTGTAAGACTTAAACCAAGCTATGCTTTTACACTTGTGTCTCTTGGGTTTTGTTTTGTTTTTTTTTTATACAGACGTGGCCAATAGGTTCTCCAGAGACCTTACTCGGTCTTAATAGTATCTTCAAATCACACTTCACTTTTTATTAAGAAAAAAAGAGGGGGGGGGGGGGGAGGCGGGACTTTAAAAAGTCTCTTTTTTGGGGAGGGAAGAAAAGCGGCATCTTAAGAAGTCTGTCTGATTATATTTGCAACTATTATGCTCCCGTAACAAACGGTCTGTACGACGCTGAATTTGAAGAAATCATGATACAAGGGTGGCATGTGCTGCCCCATGGGAAGGGGTGGGAGTGGGGAAAGAGGGGAATGAACTGAAAAATTGCCTTCCAGTGTACTAATTTATTAATAAATACTAGGTGTTTGTTATTTGACATGATTCTGTGTTAACCTCCTTAACCCCTGTCTCTGCTCCAGGATAACTGGATCAGAGCAAGGGCTGCTCAGGGTGCCTGTGGGGGGTCAAGAGGGAGATCTTGGGGTTTGGTGGTGGTGAGGGGGTTGTCTGCTTTAGTTTTGAGGACAAAATGTGATTGCTTTCTGTTGACAGCACTGCTTGAGTTCCCCTGGTCACTGCTGGAGCTCTCTGCGTCTGGGGGGGAGGATGTTTCCCCACGGGGCAGGTCCCTGCACGGAGTTGGAGTGGGGGACATTTGTTAATCCCAGTAGCAGTGAGCAGATCAGATGGCTGATGGGGCTTCCAGGGTTGTTTTTTGCAAGCTCTGAAAGGCTTTGCAGGCATTTTGAGGGGGCTGAAGTATTAATTTTCCAGGATGCAGCTGCTGTGCTGAGTCACTCACTCCTGAGTGAAGGTCTTGCAGTCACAGCGTTTCTCTTCCCTTGTTACCTTACCAGTGTCCTTAAAATCTCTGCTTCCAAATAACTCATCCCTTGTTATTCTGTCTACGAATTGAAACCTTTATGGGGCAAATGCTCCTGGTTTATAATACTGTCATTTTGTGTACTTGGCTCCCGAGTGTTTTCCGTTAACTAGGGTGCTGTGTTTTCTTTCTGGTTGGCATTGAAAATTACTGTTACAAGACTATACATAGGTACAGGATTAAAACTTTTCAACACATGAAATACAGTGCAAAATAGCAAGAGCCTTTATTGGGGACTTCCCTATTGGGAAGTGGGGTTTTCCCTCACTGATGATGAAGCATTGAGCTCTCGGTGGCTGCAATGTATCTTCAAAGCATTAAAAAGAAATAGTGAGTGTGGCTCGTGTGGCTCACCTAGACCTGGTTTCTAAAAGCAATATTTTGAGGTGGAGCCCAGTACCACCCTGTTGGCAAGTGGGGTTTTTTATCTCTGGTTGGGAACGGTGGTGGTTGCTGTCGATCCGCCTGGGCAAGAATTGGCAAGCGGAGGGAAGGTGTGTGATCATGGGCTTGATCAATAGCTTAAGGCAAGTGCAAACTACTGGCTTTAAATTATCCTTAGCAGGTTCTTGGAGTGAGTCTGACTGGGAAATTGGGGATTTATCCTTTTCTGATGGTCCAGGTGCAGGTGCTCCCATATAAATCCACGGGTTGTAAATGCTGGAGCTATCAGAGCAACCCTCCCCTGGTCCCATCCCGCAGCTCTGCTTTCCATCCTGGCAGCTGCTCGCATTTTCTGATGGGGATTGAAGGTACAGAAAAAAAAAAAAAAACAACAAAAAAAAACCCCACCAAAAAAAACAAAACCAAAACAAACAGTCCTGGGAAGAGGATTTGGCAGCCAGCTGAAGAAATACCATGAAGCAGGCACATCATGGAGGTACCTTGGCCAGGAGGTGCCACGGAGGCACAAGGAAGTCATAAAAGTGGACACAGGTGAGTCCCCAGGCTGTTTCAAGACATTTAACTCATCTTGATGGCAGGTCATGGGACAGACCAAGATTTGGGCAATCACAGAATGGTGGGGGTTGGAAGGGACCTCAGGAGATCATCTAGTCCAACCCCCCTTTTTTTCCCCAAGCCCACCCCCCCTGCCAAAGCAGGTTCACCTAGAGCAGGTTGCACAGGACCACATCCTTGGCTCCATCTATGCTGTGCACACTTCCAGCATCACTCCCTCCTTTGCTTGCACCTGGATGTTGGTCTTGTCCCTGGCTCCATCCTTTCATATTTCCTAGCTGTGCCCTCTAAGCAGCCCTTTGCTAGGAGTATGTATGTGTGTGCAATATATTTATTTATTAAATATATTTAATATATGCAAATTATGTAGTAATATATTATGTAAATATTTTCTATATTCTATTAT